GACGGGCTCGTAACCTTACGTAAGATTACGAAGCGTAGGGTTTACGTAATACTTCGCATTATTAAATTTACTGATGTTATTACCATTTTTATCATTTTACTTATATCATACTCGACAACTAATGATAAAAATTTTCTTTAACATTAAATGCTAGAAAAATTTATATTACATTAATTATTAACATTTTAGGTGATATCTGCCTAAAATTCCTTTCCTGAATTATCCTAAATTTTGTGATAATTCTAAAATAACTTTACAAATTAAAAATAATTAATCTAATATATTAAAATAATTTATATTAAAATATTTACAGTATTTTTATTTCTTTGCTTTTTTATAAGAATATCTGTTACTACTTTTGACTACTTAACATGTGGTAAATGATTAGTTGAAGCTGAAGCTGAAGCAAAAGTAGAGTTTGATGATGAAGTAGGACATTGTAAAATAAAGATAAGTTTTGTTAAAAAAAAGAAACAAAAAACAAAAACTTCTTTTATCTATTTAAATTATAATTATGCGTAAGAGTATTAAATTTCTAATATATCAGCATTTATTTTCAATATTATTCATTTAAAATTTAATTTACGAAAAATTCAAATTCTAACATATTAGCATTATTGTCAATATTATTTATTTAAAATTTAATTTATGAAAAAATTCAAATTTTAACATATTAGCATTTATTGTCAATATTATTCATTTAAAATTTAATTTACAAAAAAATTCAAATTTCTAACTCAATATAAATTTGTCAGCATTTATTTTAATATTATTCATTTGAAATTTAATATTCAAATTTTATGATATAAATTTCTAATTTAATATAATAAAAATTTCTTATTAAATTTTTTTAGAAAATAATCAAAATTTTGATCAGATTAAGATTGACATTAATTAGAGTTAAACAATAAAAAACAATGGAAATATTAGGAAAATATCAGGTTAAGTTAAGGATAAAATAGGATTTTAATCAGTAATTTCCTGATTATCATATTTTAAACTCTTTTAGTTTAATAAATTGCTAATTATCCAAACAGAAATCTAAACTTCTATTACATCTTTTTTTTAATGATAATTTTTTTAAATTTAAATATCATAATAATTATTATTTTTTTTTATATTCTTTAATTTACTTTTTTTCGTTAGCTGTTTAATTTTATTGAAAGTTGTCTTTTAAACGATTTTTCATTCTTTTTAATAAATTATAAATTGTTTAAGCTAAACACCTCAAGCAGTAATTCTAAGAAATAATAGGGAGAAATAAGTAGATAGAAAAGTGATAAGAACCTCTAATCAAACTTTCAAAGTATATATATATTTTATTTTATTTATTTTTTTTTTATTTTTAAAATGATCTATTTATAGGAAAATATATAGAATTTTATATTTTATATTTTCTTAGTATAGAAAGTATAATGTGAAATCCAAATTATTTATAGTCAAGCATTATTATTCAAAAATATAATAGATTTTTTAAAAATATTTTTTATAATATAATATCAAAAAATAAATTAAATTTAACTAATAATTAACATCTTTAATAATTAGAATACCTTGTCTGAAAATTTGATTAAAAATCAAGAAGGTTGTGTAGAAATTTATTTACACAAGAAGATACACAACATTTATCTGATAAAGATTTTTAAAATTATAAATCAGTATCAATAAATAATTGTATTAAAGTAGATCTTATTTTACCAATACCTAATGATATTGATGGAGTTGTCAATTTAAACATTTTAAAGAATTTAAAAAACTTTAGTTTTATGATTAAGGATTTAGAAGAAAGAATCTTAGAATTAATAGCAATACTAATAACAACAGCAATACAACTATCACTATTAAAACTATCATCAGCAGTAATAAAAAATTTGGGAGAATTAACTAAAAGAATTGTAAAATATATTGAAGAAATTATATTGCCTCAATTTTTACAATCAATGTTAATCATATTCAAAGATCAATTGCATAAATATAAGCTACATAAAGTAGTTTTACTTGAATATAATGAATATATTTAAGAAAATTATCAGGTGGTTTATGATATTTCCAATAAACTTTCAATACATATTTCTTACTCTTATACAAAAAATATCAAGAGAAAGAGTAAAAATTCATTTCCTTCTTTTAAAAATAAATTAAATGAATTATTATTGAAATATGCAGAAGAATTTAGATTTGTAGAGAATAGTTAGAAGAAGCAAGTTTCTTACTATTACTACTACTATCATTAGCAGTAGCAAAAGAATAAGACAACCACTATCACTATTAGCAATAGTAATAATAACAATAAAATAAAAAATAATTAAAAACTTCAAATAAAAAAAAATTCGTTATATGAAATAAAAATTATTTGAAGAATATCAGGAATTTAAAAAAAAAAATCCTGATAATGATAATCCAGTATAGGTAGATCACATTTTTTTATTTTACAGATGATACATTTCACAATTTCACTAAGTGATCATATGTAGTTATTCATTTATAAATAATAAATTATATCATAAATATAGTTGAAATAAATATTTATAATTAAAATATTTTTCAGAATCAATCAGTCAAACTAGTTAAACAATTGTGACTTTTGTCTTATCTCTTAATTTAATGTGAGTTAATTAAGATAGTTTATAAATAGTAGTAAGTTATTTTTTTGCATACTGAGATGAGATAAATATTTCACTTATATTATTTTTATAATTTAATAATTAATAAGAAGTTAGTGAAATCATTTCTACCTGATAGGTGAAATATAAGTTAGCTCGAAGTTTAGAGCACTTGGCATAGTATTTTTTGCTATAATCATTTAGCTGAAAGGTAAGCTTCATAGCCAATTGAATAACTATTATAATCATAAGATACCAATACCAATTTATTTTTTTCTGAGTGAGAAAGAGATTAAGATAAAAGCTTCAGTTAGAAATGCTTCATTTTAGCTTCTTTTTGTAATAAATACTATTTATATTACCAAATCTGAAATTTTCTTTTATCAATTGCTTGAAGAATTTCTTTTCTTCTTGCATGTTCATTTGAATTAGTATCTCTAGTAATACATCTCTTCAAATAACTATCTTGATATAAATGATCATTTATAAGCCTTTCAGGGATGAATATCAGAGAGTCACATACACTACAATATATATAGTTTAATAGATATCTATAAATCCTTTTAGTATTACAACTAGTATTATAAAATTTTTTATACATGCAAATATATCCATTCTTAGAAAAGATTTCTTAGTTCTCTTTAAGTAATATTTTGAATAAACCACAAATACAAGAGCATTATATTTCTGGTATTTTATAATCATATTTCTTTTCTAAAGTATATATTATACTTATTATCTTTTTATATGTAAAGTTACAATCAGATAAATAAAGCATAAAATAGACTTTACTATCTAAATCTATATTTTACAGATGTTTAATCAATAAAATAGTGAATTATAGTAAATTATAATGTTTTATAGTAATTTCATTGATTTGTTGATTTATAATAATTTATAGTAATTTATAGCAGTATACTATAATAAATATTAGATTTATTTTTTATTTGATTATTCAAATAAAAATATATTATGATTTAGTTAAATTAAATCCAATTATTGTAGACAGCTAAAATTTGTATCACATGTGATCTTAAATCCCTGCCAGTTCCTTAATAGTTCTAAAAATTTCTAAAAGCTAACGAAATTTTATAAATTATGAGATAATCAGTAAGGAGATAGTTTAATTTATTTGATGAGCAGTCATATAGCATTTATAAGAATATACAGTTTAAAAAAGAAGAAAGGCCTAATGCAGGTAAAACTTTATTTGATAAGCATATGTAAATTTGCTTTGGTTAATATATTGAAGACAAAAAATAGTTGAAAGAAAAATGAACTATTTATTTTTTCACATTTTGATTTCTCTGATCCACAGATCAATGAAGTTATATAACTATAATATAGTAACTATTCAAATTCTGCTTCAATAGCATCAATGTTATTTTAACTTAGCTTATAGATTTGCAAAGCTGAAAATGACTTTATTAATTGTATCTTATTATATCCAATATCACTAAATAAATCATAAACCTTTCTTTTCCTTTTTATTTTTTCTCAATGGCATTTTTTGAGAGATCACCTGAAAGCTGTTTTGTAATTTCTTTGACTAGCATTCTCTGAATCTTATGATCTCTATAACTGCTTTTGAATCTATCAAAAAATTTTTTAAGTTCCTTTCCAAACAAATAATATCTCATAATAACTACTTGATTTTTATCTCTATTTTTGTTTTTAGCTATGATAATTGCCTCATATAATTTAGTAAGATTCCTGGAGTTAGTGATTGGAGGTTGCATATTAGTACTTACAGAACTTAGAATTTTTAGCTCCTTGATAAGTTTCTTAAGAATAGGTGATTCCTTATTATTAGTTGAAGTTTTCTGCTTTTTGCTAAATGATTTTTCAGTAAAAGAAGAATTCATAGTGTGTTTATTCTACATGATGCTTGAGCTCTGAGTTTCTAAATTGTTAGTTACTATACAATCATCATCAATTTTCATATTATTAGTTTCTGTACTATTAGTTGATAGGCATATAGGACATAACTTTGCAGATTATTGATACAGTCATAATATATAATATATTTGCAGATTAAGTATACAAGTAGTTTTGAGAGACCTTGAGGTTAAAGAAAGATCTAAAGAAAGTCTAAAGAAGAAAGATACAAAAAAAGATCTTTAGAGTATTTAGTGCATCTTAAAATATTTTTGATTTGCTGAATTGCTGTACTCTCAATCTTTTTTATTCATATAGGTAGTAAAGATAGAGTAAACATTCTCATTAAGTTAGATATAGGTGAAATTTCACTTGATTGAGAGGTCTTTCTAAGATCAGGTATTGATAGATTGGAAATAATACTAAAAGTATTAGCTTGATCTAAAATATCTATACTCTTTTTATAGCTGAAAACTAAACATGCGTTTGGAGTGCTAAGAAAAAGTTTTTTTTGATAAAGAGTCTGTGAAGAATAATTTAGATATTAGTTAATTATTAGGAAACTCTGTGATTTAAATTTAAAAAGTTAATATAATGATAAATAATAAATATCAATAATGAAAGTTTGGTTGCCAGTAGTATCTGCTTCAAATTTAATATTCAATTTCAGTTATATCAAAAATAATAGCAAAATTTTAAGGTCAAGCGTTCACAGAAGTAGTTATATATAAATAGACCTTAATATTAATAATATTAGAACTAGTATTGCAGTTCATATTTTAGTTACACAAGTATTTATTCCTAATCCAGAAAATAAGCCCTATATTAATCATATTAATAGTATCTAGTATAATAATTAGGCTATAATTTAGAATGAGTAATTTCTAAAGAGAATACTGAATGTAAAGTATTCTCAAATCCAGGTAATAGTGACTTTAGGAAAATTGTGCAAAAGACTTTAAATGAGAATGTTATTCAGATTTGGGATTCTATACAATCAACTTCCATTATAGTCACCTCTATTATAGTCATATTATCCTATATAGTCACCCTAGTTAGATGTCCTGAATTTTTATTATATAAATCCTACTATTTATAGTCACATTCTACCTATAATCACTATCACCCTTATTTCAAAAAATCTTATATTAAAAAATATCATTTATAATTACATAATCACGTAAAAATTTAGCATAAAGAAAAGAATGTTAAATAACTTTTGTAATATTGTGAAGTTTTTTCTAATATATTTTTTATTAAATATATATTGACCATACTAACCAATATTGTTCTTCATTTTACATATACTCATAAATTTATAAATGTTAAAGTATGTTTGCTCTTGATCAGATATAGATTAACCTATATCTATTAATTCTAAATATTATGTAGAGGTGGCAAACTTTGTTTAGAAAAAACATTTTTTTATTTTTAGCAGAAAATCAGAAAAAAAAACTGAATGTGAAATTAAAAAAGAAAATGGAAAAAGAAAAAGGAATAATAATAGTTGAAGAGAGTGAGTTAAAAGTTTGTTTTAAAAAAAGGAATGTCAATAGTTGGAGTGATAATTAGATTTAAAAAAAAAAGAATTATGTTGAAGGGTTTTTAGTTTGTGATGGTGTAAAGAGACAGATCTTTGTGGGAATGCAGACCTTTATGAAAAAGGAGATCAGTTGTGTAGTCACTCAGTATAATGGACATTTAACTTATCTGCAATTTTATTAGTTAAATATTGTGATGATTATTTTTGAAATATTACATAATTATTAATTTTGATTAGTACAAAATTGATTGATATAAAATTACCAAAATAGAAAGGTTAGTTTTAGACTATTAAAAAATATTTTTTGACTATTTTTTTATAAATTTTTTATATAAAAATTCTTGAATTAATGTTAAATCAAAAATATAAAAATATCAAATATATCTATATTTTTTTATAATAATTATAAAAATTAGAAAAAAAGTTGAAAATTAAAGGAACTTGTAACATTAAATTAAAAAGTAAAATTATAAATATATTAGATATTATACATTTAAACTACTATCTAATAATATTTGTGATTAATATAAATGTTTAGATTAAAAAGAAGATATAATATTTGTATATGATCATACTTTTCATCATAAATGTTTTTTCAAAACAAAATAATAATTATAAAAAAATTCTATAAAAAAGGTATTATCTTTAATGTAAAATCCTATATAAAAAGATTATAAAAAGATGAATAGTTTATTAGATGATGAATATTAGATAATGAAGCAGCAATAATAGAAAAAATATTGTATTTTAAATTTGATAAATTATAAGTTATTAAATAAAATATATTATAATATATATAATTTTAATTTTAAAATTTTAGCTCTCATTTAACTTTCTTAAGAATAGAGATCTTCAGATCTTTTTTTTACTTAAATATAAAAAAAAAAATAAATGATATATCAATGTAAAAAAACTACACATTGATAGATTAGTTTTTGAAATATTATTGATCTTTTTTTTATTACTTTAAATCAATTGAAATCAAACATTACATAATATAAAAAAGATCGACATTTGATTTTATCACCATATGATATAATGAATATTCATTATGCAGCATGAATGAAATTCAATTTAACCTTAATAGTTATACAATTATTTATATTAAATTTACAGTATAAATATATATCAAAAATGTACAATTATATATGTAATACTAATTTTTATCAAGCATTAATTGACAAAATTTTACATAACCTTTTACTAGTATATTTACTTTTGTTTACTTTTTTCTAATCCAGTCTTATTCAATGTTTGAAGATTTTAGCTATATAGTATATAATACTAATATTTAATAAACTGAAAAATAATTGAAAAATTTTATTAAAATAACAGTATTTTTATTGTAATCTCTTTACCATTGTTCTACATTAAGCAAAATACTTGTAAATTTAAAAGTTATTATTGTAAGATCAAAATTATCTACCTTTTCTATTTCACCTTCTTCATTTTCTGCATTATTATCACTTTCTTGTTCTTTCTTAGTAAATTCATTACTATTATTTTGTAATCTATCTAGAAAAGATTTTACATTATCAAACACATCTCATTTATAATATTGTTCACAATGACTACATCTATTTCTTAAATTATTATAACATATCTGATAATAGTCATACCTACAAATCAATATTTTATTATCATCATTTAATTTTTTAGTATTACACACATCACAAACATCTAACTTAAAAGAATGTTCTGTATGATACCCAGCTGGTAAAATTTTAATATTTACAGTTTTCAGTAAAAAGAATGGCAGACATATTTTCAAACGGTATATATAAACTTAAATTTTAAAATGTAAAATTTTTATTTATTTAAAAGACTGATACTAACACAATATTTTTTATTATTTGATTAATATTTTGTGTAACCTCTTTCTATTCTGATTCATGCTTTAATCCAGTTTGGCATATTATTGAAGTATCTAAGTAAGTATTTCATAAAGTAGATTATCCTATCTCTGCTAAATTTTATTGAGAAAAGTATTGTAAGGATTATTTTATTTTTTTGTATCAATCCTTAATCTTTATCTCTACCTTTTCTTATAAAATTGCTCATATATTTTTGATAGAATTCAAAGTCTGGGTTATATAAAGGCCAAGGAAGACTCATTCTAGATGATGTTCTTTAAAGTCATTTGAATATCTTTTGAAATGCAGTTTAGATCATATCCTTATTGAAAGATCTAATTTTAACTGTGTAATACATTTATTATTCAATTTGGTAATATAAACAATAGAAAAATGGTGATACTGCAGTAAAAAAAATTCAGTATTTTATTGCTATTCTTTTTGCTGGGGACTGTACCTATTGATTTAATATAGTTAAATAAATATATCATACTAGACTTCTTTTTTCTTTTTCCTTTTATATCAAATACATAGTTACAATTGCAATTTTGGTAAAATTTTTGAAATGTTGTAATAAAAATAAACTTGTTTTATTTGTTAAATAATTAAATTTGGATAAAGTATAAGGATAATACTATCATGTTTGATAAGTTTCTTTAAATTCATTCAGAATATGAGAGTCTTTATAAAATTTAGTATTTTTATTTAATATATTTTTTTAAAAAAGTTTTAGAAATTTACCAATTATACACGTCTATTTAATTATATCATTAGTATTGATATAAACAGGTATGCTTCTTTGAATTTTATTGTATATATTTTCTATTAAGTAATCATTAAAATTTGATAAAAACATTTTTACTGCATTTAAAAAAAATGATTAATATCTTTCTAATAGAAATATCTAACAAAAATATCAATAATGCTTTGTTATAATTTTTACGCTTTAGTATAATACAAATGTTTATATACAAAAAAATAGTTTTAATATACTCGTCAAATAAATCAGAATGAAAAAATATTGCATGAATATCAAGTGTTACTAGAATTAAGTTATCTAGTAAGTTAAGTAGCATTTGATATTTAATATCCTTATATAAAGGCCTAAATTTATTTTTAATAATTATTCTAATTTTTATTTAACCATTATATGTTAATTCTAATAATAGATTTATTTGCTAAAGTTTTAGTTTCTTGGCTAATTTTACGCGTTCTCTAAAAAGAAAATGAAATAAAAGTTTAAAAAATAAATAATGCATTAGAAATACTTGTTCTTTACTATTAAGTGATACATGTAAAGGCCTAAGAATCAGAATAAAAGATTGTATATTAGGTAGAATTATATTTATTATTTATTTTTGTGCATACAAATGAACTATTACCTTTCAAATAAACAATTAGTCTGATCAATCAGCAATAACAGGAACACACAATGTGAAAGTGGGGGTTTGAGGACAGAATGTCTGACCCCACTGAAACATAGTGTGTGTGGGCCACAGAACGTTAAAAACAATATCGATTATTTTTATTATATTAGAAAAGCTTTTAACGGCTCTAGAATCTTAATTTCGATATTATATTTCTTAATTCT